TTAGTTTTAGTAAGAGCTTTACGCACTTGCAACACAATAAGGTCTATAAGTGCAGACGATTAGAGGTGTTACAAGAGAGTAACAAACAGAAAAAAAAGAAGATGGGGATCTAAAGACGATAGATGTTTGACAGGAGAGAAGAAGCAAATCACACCAGAGCACCCGCCAACCACCCACTCACCGAATCTACCAAAGTCTCACCTGCAGATGTCCCACCACTCCAGTCTGGGAGGGAACTTTGGCATCTCGTATCTCTCTGTGCTCAGTTTGACCACCGGCTTACACAGGGCGCGACCTATGAACTCCGACTTGCCCTGTTATGGGAACAACGCAGAATACAGTGGAAATTGTTTAGTTTAGTTTTAGTAAGAGTTTTACGGCATTGTAACACAATAAGGTCAAATAAGTGCCGGAGAATAGATTACGTGTTACTTAAGAGAGTAACGTACAGAAAAAAGGAGGGGAGATAAGGACGACTGATGTTTGAAATGAAAGAAGGAGCAAACCACACCAGAGTAACCGCCAACCACCCACAGTCGAAATTGTCATTGACTGTTGAGGAGAAAACTGGTTGTCTTAGACGGGGGGACGTCTTACAAAATGTTATTATAATGTGAAAAAAATATTTATTTTTAAAACCCGCTAGGGAGAAAATGAGAAGTGGCCGTTTGTGCAGGTGATTGCCTTAACCCTATCCATACGTCGTGTTTTAGTATCGTATCCGTACGACGTGGGGAACTCTGTGCCACTACTTTCAAAGAGGAAATTTACTCGTTAATCCGATCCGTACGCTTTGCATAGCATAGCAGCAGAAATACTGAAAGTTTCAAAGAGATCTTTGTATTAGAAGTATTCTAAAATGTGAAGAATACAACCCCGGGGTTACAACATGACCCCAGGGCGTACTGATAGGGTTAAACAGGTGGCCTTTAGAACAGGCTTGACAGTAATATGAAGCTATTTGAATAGTTTTAGTGTGCAATGTAGTATACTGTGCTTGTATCGCAAATTTTGTTCAAAAAGTAGATCGGATATTCATTTTGCTGAAATTGTTTTACGTATCTTTTTGAAAAGTTCATATAGAGGGTGTTTGGAAGGCATTATTAATGGGTTTTTATCTCTTTAATAAGCTTCTGTTTTATATTTTCCATAAATCTTTTTTTCAGGCACTAAATGTGTTTTTTTCAATTGGATGAGTCAATTTGCATACAGGACCTCCGAGATTCTTCGCCTTTATGCGAGATGGTTATGTGTTAGATCTTACCTACCTTACGATCAGGGGTGTGGCTGAAAGACTGCAGTAAGAAGAAGCCAAGGAGTAGCAGTAAAAAGGCTGGAGAAAGAGTCAAAGGTCCAGAGGAGGGGGCAAAGGGGAGGGGGGAGGGGGGAGAGGGCAGAAAGTGAAAATGAGTGCAGACGACAGAACATGGTTAAAGAGCAGGAAAGGAAGTGAAAGAAAAAAAATTTAGAGCAGAAAATTTTCCTTCGCTGTCAGTTTTCGAGCCAGGGACCTATTGAATGAGAGGCGAATACTGTAACCTCTAGACCACGAGAGCCCCCTGTCAGGTTTCAAACCCGGGACCCTATTGAATGAAAGGCAAAGACCCAAACTACTACACCATGAGAGTCCATTGGAACGGGTCTTTTAGTTTTAGTGGAGGTTTTATGGCGCTTGCGACTGTATAAAGTCATATGAGCGCCGGAAGATTAGAGGTGTTACAAGAGAATAACAAATATAGCAAAGAAAAAGGGGAGATAAGGA